TTTATATTTATCTTTCATGGTAAGGGCGCGTTTGGCGAAGACGCGTTGCGGGCAAGCGACGCTGGCAAATGGGCAAATTGGTGCATCTGCTTTTTGTGCTTTGGAAGGTGAGCAGGTTGTGGGCCAAAAAAGGTAAGCGGGTTAGCCCACAGGAACCGGACCTGCCGTGCAGCCACTGGCAACACAGAAGGGACACCAGCACCCCAGGGACGCACCTTGGGTTCATGTCTTAAAGGGCATTGTTTTCTTAGTAGTGAGTACTGAATTTTGCAACTTTCAAGTCCAATGCAAAAACCATTAAAAGAGGGACACCTTTAAATATTAGGGTGCTTGCCCTTATCTAATATTTACTTGGGCAGTTTTTTTAGTAAACTTTTTAATATCTAAATCACATTTTATTTAATTATTTAAAGTTAAATTATATTAAACCTCATAAAGAGAGAAACTCTCAAAACACCTCTTTCTTTATTCATTTATAAAATTCAAATTCAAGACTTCATTTAATGAATCCAAACTCTTTCTCCTTGAATCAACATGATGTTGATAAATATTTGCAGAGGTATCTTTCTTTTCTAACTTATCTAATCGCTTTCATGTTTTCAAATCTAAAACCTCTTCTTTTTTTAAGGAAAAAAAATGATTACCACTATAAGGATACATCAGAGATGCTCGAATGGCTAAACATGCTAAATTGCTAATAGATAATGGGAAGTAAACGATGGAGATGTATTCTCTTTATTAAATTCCCTCCTCACGCTCACCACCATGTGGCCCAGTGGCCACGCTTCTCATTTGAGAAGCAAAGTGGGGGTACCTTGCTCTTCAGGTTGAGCCCAGTGCTCCATATTCCCCCCTCTCCTTTGAACAGATACTAAGACTATTAACGTAATTTCGACTGTCTAAAAAAAAAATTCCCTCCTCACGCTCACCACCATGTGGCCCAGTGGCTACGCTTCTCATTTGAGAAGCAAAGTGGGGGTACCTTGCTCTCGAGGTCGAGCCCAGTGCTCACTAATACTATTAACGTAATTTCGACTGTCAAAAAAAAAAAAAATTCCCTCCTCACTCTCTTAACATTGGAAAATTTGCATTTAGGTCCCTCAAATATGGATTAAAAGCTCAGGAATTAGAATTAGGAGAAGAGGCAAAGACAACTGAGTAGCAAGTAATTGGGATGCACCTAGGCAGTCCTCTATACAACTATAGTATCTTACGATTGCCCTTGGATTCCCTCATCTCCAATTGACTCACCATTGGGTGCCAATCCTCGAATCTTCACGTCATAATAAACCTCTTCCACTTTTCTTAGGTCATACTTCATACCTGAGCAGGGAACGCCATGAGTAAAGAGTGTTTGGAGACAAGAGACCAACTTTACAGCGTAAAAGATAGGAAGAAACAAAAATCAGAATGAATAGCTTACCATCAAACTTTTTGCGCAGGAAATCATTACGAAGATTTAGCATACGGAAGGATGCATGAAGATCGGTCATGAAATTCAACACCTTCCTAGGGCAATCATAGTCTCCAGCTGTCACCTTGTTCACCACATATCTTGGCTGAAAAAATTGAAAGACATGCATTATTAACTTTTTCTTTATGACACGGTTTATATCTATTATATGATAGCCACTAAATAATATTCCCTCAAAGGAATGACAGTTCCTCAAGTGTCATGTACCTTCCTCAAATAATTCACTAAATTACATTTAAAAGAAAAACATGGTAAGAAGATGCACACTATTTGAATAAGTAGATGCAGCATGCTTTTGGATTATGAAGAATGATTCTTACCATTTCATTGGACAAAAAGCAGATACCTGCATGAGAAGAAAAATCCCCCTCATCAATATTTGCAATTTAGGAGAAAAGAACTCACCTTTAACATCACAATTCACAATTCACAAATTATAAATAAAGTAGTTTATAATTTCTAACAGAATTCTACCATTGCCCTGACACCCACACCCAAACCACCCCCCCAAAAAAAAAAAAAATTCCATAGCATGTTAATTACACGATTCACCATGATGCTTGATTTTTCATAACTTGGCAGTTTAACCCACTAAGCCTCAACACTGGTTCAGACAAAAATTAGAAATATACATTTATGCCATTAAACTGTTAAGTCTTTTCATGTTGTCTATACCAATGTCAAATTCTATCCCCATGTATCCCATCAAAGCTTTTGGTGTTAGTTGACAGAAATTTGTTAGAAATTGTGTCCTTTCAAAAAGATATATTACTTGACGTTGTTAAACAAAACTAATGCTTGCTAAGATGAAACAATTTACTCTGCAGGACATGCAGAAGAAAAACACAACACCACTCTTGCTTGTCTCTTAAAGTAAATCTGTCTAACATCTGCTATAACACTCACCAATAAGGTAATCCTCAATATCCAAACCGAACTCTGAACTTTTCACTGCATAAGTAAACAACTTGAGAATAAGTCATAAACACGGAATATAGGAAATTTTGTTCTGGTTGCTGCTTAAATTATGATCATTTTACCCAAACGTGAATTAAGGTAGCAGTAAAACTGAGAATTGTCTCACCTCAAAGAACACTACATGGCCATATATATCCACCAAATAATTAAATAAGAAAAAGAAGAAATCAAGCTGAAGATCAAAAAGTTCTACTAAATCTTACAGTCCTCTAGATCTCTAGCATATAAAACCAAACTAGTATTATTTGAATATTAATGAACGGCAATCAGAAAAGAAGGTACAATATGAACATACATCCCAAAATTTCCTCAGCTTCAGCATGTAGGAGAAGAGCTCCTGTCTCCAACCAGTGAATAAAAGCAAGCTGCGAAACTACTGTCTGTGTTTCACTCCTCCAATCTCCATGATACCTAAAACAACAGAAACACAAAAAGTAAACCAGAAAACGTATCATCCTAATCAAATTATCAAAACATATTACCTATAATACTGCTCGGGGCATGCGTTAAGAACATCAGCCAATCGACTGTAAAGCTCCTTCAACTCACCTATTTGCGCCTTTGCCTTCTCTAAAACCTCTATTGCAAAGTACCAAAACAAATAAATAACTGAAAATTTATGATTCTATAATCCCCTGAAATTGGAACAATCCATTTCTTCTACATCATAACTAAAACTATGCAGGTGATGATAATAACTCAAGGCATGTATTTGGACTATTACTTCAAAATGTTATGCATTCTTTTAACCCAATTCCTCCTGTAGAATTCAGTTTGGGTTATGGTTTAGAGTTCAGCGAATCGTACCGGGAATGGGTTTAGACTGGTGAACGAGAAGGACGCTAGCTTGCATGAGCCTGGAGGCGGACTCAATCTCCATCACGACAACTCGAATGCGTTCGCGTATGTTTCCAGAATCATCAAGCTGGCAACGAAAAGCCGCGAACTGCTTCTCCAGCGAAGAACACGGCTCTGGCGCGTTGGCTTCACCGCCCGCCATTGAAGTGGAGCACGGAGATGCAAAGAGAGAGGAATGTAACGCTTTGTTTCTGTGAGCGCCGGGAAAAGGAGAACGCGAAGGAGAAGTGGAAATGGCAGGAAGCAGGTTAAGAAGGCAGGGGAAGGACGAGGTGGGGTTAGGGTTTATGGAGTCGCGACAGAGTGTCAAGTAGGCGTTTCGAAACGCTGATTTCATGTTCGTTTCGTGTTTTTTTTTTTTTTTTCTTTTCTTTGATTTTCTAGATGATTTCCTGCTAACATGGTAGTCTAGTAATGAAAAGAAAATCTCTCAAATAAGCTCCTCAACTTCTTTGACATTACAATTGAGGTCTTAGAGTTTTTTTTAATGACATATAAGTTCCTCAACTTGTGAAATTGATGAAACATAGTCAAACATCCCAGAACCAGAATTTAAGAACCATGAAAAAGCAAATGTAATCTTTGGTTGAAGATGGAATGAACTAGGAAACCTTCTCCTTTCTTACTGTTTCTCAGTTCTATACTTGAATCTACATATGATCATACAATATTTCAGAGATGCACTTACCATAGAACCTACATAATGTTCATGACATCTAATCTACACGATACTTGAGTGTTACCACTACGCATTTTGTATACTTTTGAGTAGCTGTAAGAGACTATGATAGAAAGTAAACTGATCTGTACACCAAGAAATCTAACAAAAATTGTCAAAAATTGTCTGTTGGCTTACTTCTTTTGGACGGTCACCAAGGCAATGTAGGCTATGAGGCGACTAACGATGCCGTTTAGAATGAGGATTACCAGACAAATATTCCAGTGTTTAAGATCATACCCGCTTTCCATTAAGGAACTGCAACGAGTTATCAACCACACCCCAGAGTACCTGAGGAACAAAAGCAGAATAAAAGGTTATGCTGGGATGAGAAGGTAAACATTGTAGCTAACTGCTTATAATTAAGCTGGTAAGTATGTGCTTAGTAACAGGCAGAAGGCTCTAGGGTAAAAGGCATAATGTTAATAATCCCAAGACGATGAAGGCGAAAGTGATAAAAGTAAACAACCTTTTAGCATTTGCAATAACAAACGCTTCTAGAGCCCACTTTGGATAGCATAAGTTTCCAAAGTACTTGAGGGTTAAACTGTCTTTGTCCTGGTTTGCAATGAGAGTCAAAACAACAGGAAGCAGCACTGAACACTGAAGAAGAAAGGAGTACCTTGTCAGATTAAAAGAAATCAAAAGAGTTAACATTAATAGTATATTTTATGAGTTGATCAATGACTTGTATTGGAGTTACCAGTTGGGCAGGACTGGGTTCTAGAAGGATGGCAAATATGTAAGCCATGCCAGTTACTGCATACACAAGGCAGAGCAAGACAACATAATTGTCTTGAAAGGTTGATCTGGGATTGTTGAAGAAATAGAACATTGATAAATAGACCACAGGTTTGATGACAACATTGAAAAGGTCAATAGAGTCTTTAGATAGAAAATAAGCCAAGCTGCTAATCCCAGCTGCACTCTCTCTCCAGTAGTGTAATTTGTCCAGAGAAAAAGATCTTAAAGCTGAAATCTTGCATAGTAATGCTGCAAAATGAGCAATCAGGTTTATTTACTATGAGAAAGGAAACAAACCGTGAAACACATCAACAAAGCATGTCTTTCCTACTTACAAACAGCAATGACAGTATAAGTGTAGCCAAGGGACCCAAATGTTTCATCGCTCACTTTAGCCAGAATTCCTAAGCAGGCTCCAGCGAGTAACAGAATCAGATAATCAATAGCTTGTATTCTAGATTCGCGTAGTCGCTGTTTAAGAACCCTGCAATATATCCATCAAACAAATCAATTATGTAACAAATTTCCATGTCATGTCTTTTTCCAGCTAGGAGCAAGAAAAGAAAGCTCATTAGGTCAAATAATAGTGGGTTCAATCTTGAAAAACAAAGTTAACCAGAAGATGTTGTGTCCTTGTGATACTATGTTTGTCCATAACGACTCCTCAAATGCTGCCCCTTTCCTTGAAACTTGCAAACATAATTAAAGGATGGAATGTTTCAAATCTTGACAACAATATATGATTTTATGTTTTCTTTTATGAACGCTGGAAGTGCTGCTAGGCTGTTTACAAATGGGTTGCATACATTATTTAGGGTGTACTAGTTATGCTGCCTAAGAATAGAGAAGTACACCAACTTCCAACTTCAAAGCCTTCATTCTGGGGTC